GCGATGCGGCCGGCGTGACTGCTTTGCCGTTCCGTCTTCCGCTTTGTTTGCCGCATTATTTGCACAATTTCATTTTGTTTGTTTGTTTTGTTTCCTACAGTCTGTGAGAGGATTGGTGTCGGACGAAGGATGTCTGCTGCGTTTCACGTAGCGTCGTTTTTTTATTCAATAGTTCTCTATAGCGATAGTCGCCGATGGGAAGTTGTGCATTCTTGCTCCTTTGCACTTCTCCTCTGCGCAGGAGACAGGGTAACGGCGTCTGCAGAAACCGGCCCGCATTAGTACCCCACGATGGATGAATGAGACGTTGGCTGTGCTCCCCATGCCTTCTCTTTCTTTCCGTCATTGCGTGTATGTGCATTGCGTCCACACAAATCATGCAGGTTAAGTGCTACATATATATATATATATATTATTCTTCCTTCTTACTCCCCTTTTGGAGCAATTTATTAAACAGCGCACTCGCCCCTCCGTCAGCTTAAATTTCTCTCTCTTACTTCTTCTGTGTTGTGCTGTCTCTGCCGCAGCTCCCGCTGTGGTTGCTGCCGGGCGGCGGTGTCTGCTCCGACTACCGCGTTTGTTGTTGCTGGTTATCTTTTTCTTTTCCCACTCCGGTGGAAAGTAAGGGACGCCGTCTCCTCCCCTGCAGGATGAGCCTCGTGCACCACTTCTTTCACGTCAAGGGCGGGGCGACGACGGCGAAGCCGACCGCCACCACCAACAGCAACGCCGACTGCGCCTCGGCGGCGGCGGCGGCGGTGGAAACCGTGCACGTTGCCGTGCAGGGGTGCTGTCACGGAGAGCTCGACGGCATCTACGCGGCTTGCGCGGCGCACGAGAAGGCGAGCGGGCGGCGGATCGATTTTCTCGTGTGCTGCGGGGACTTCCAGGCGGTGCGCGACGCGAGGGACCTGCGGAGCATGGCGGTGCCGCAGAAGTACCGCGTGCTGGGCGACTTTGCGGCGTACTACCGGGGCGAGAGGCGTGCGCCGTACCTGACGCTCTTCGTGGGCGGCAACCACGAGGGCTCTGACTGGCTGGCGACAGAGAGCTACGGTGGGTTCCTGGCGCCGAACATCTACTACGTGGGGCACTCCGGCGCCGTGATTGTGGATGGCCGCGTCACTGTGGCTGGGCTGAGCGGCATCTTCAAGGGGCACGACTACGCGCGGCCGTATCCCGGCCGCCCCTTCCATGCGTCGGAGGCGGCGAAGCGCTCCGCCTACCACGTGCGGCGGATTGAGGTGGAGAAGCTTCGGGCGCTCTCGCGGGCGCTGGAACGCATGCGGCGGCAGCCGACTCCCCAGGCGACTGCGCCCGCGGCGGGGTCCAGTGCGCCGCCCCCGCGATGTGCCGCGACGTTTCCGCACCTCGACCTGTTCCTCTCCCACGACTGGCCGGCGGGGATCACTAGGTACGGGGACGAGGCTCAGCTGCTGCGCCACAAGCCCTTCTTCGCGGACGACATTCGTCACGGTGCGCTGGGGAACCCGCACACGATGCCGCTGCTTCGCGCCGCCAAGCCGCAGTACTGGCTGGCGGCACACCTCCACTGCCTGTTTGAGGCCACCGTGCCGCACCACGACGTGGAAGCCGACGCCGCCGCCGCTGGCGTGCCGCGCGCCACGCGGTTCCTCGCGCTGGACAAGTGCTCGAAGGGGAAGGGCTTTCTCGACTTCATTGACCTCCTTCCCGGCGGCGGCGGCCCCGCTGCGGAGGAAACGCGGGAGCGAAGTGCGAGCGGGCAGGGACGCGTGGTGCACCATCCGCTGTGGATGGAGGTGCTGCGAGAGACGCACGGCATGCTGGCGGCGAACGACGCAAACTGGTCGGCGGAGTCGTGCGCGTTGCTGCGGCTCGCGCCGGAGGAGCTTCGGCGGCGTGGTGCGTGGCTGCCGGCCAGCAGCACGAGGTCGGTGCTGGAGGCGCTTGCGCTGTCGCCGTCCCCGCTGCAACGGCCGCCCGCGGGGGAGGAAGGGCGCCCGCTGCCGCCGCCGCCGCCGCACGCGCGCGAGCGCCCTGCAGAAGCGAGCGCCGCGACACCGCAGACCGCGGCGCCGACTGCCTGGGATGGCGTTGCCGAGGAGCTGGCCGTCACGGAGGACACGGCTGGGGCCCCATGACTGGCGGGAAGCCGGGCGAGGCGGCAGGGGCGGCGGACGCGGCGCAGCGAGGGATATGTTTTGGCGCTGCGGTGGTAGTTTGACGTAGATGAGGTGCTGGTGCCTGTAGTGAAGGGGAAGAATGAATATTGCGTGTTCGTGTGTGTGTGTGTCTTTTGCAGATTTCACTGTGCTTGATGAGCAGGATGGCGTCGCTTGTGGCTGTGTGTTTTGTTGCCTGTTGTTTCCAGGGTGTCCGCTTCCTACGTGCCTTGGACGCCTCCGTCATGGGTTTGCAACCGACATTCACGTGTTAATATTATAGTTGCTGCTGGTTTGTGCGAGGGGGAGGCGAAGCGTACTTGGCGCTGTGGCGCTGCCCCCGTGCATTTATCTGTTCGTCTTCATGTCTGTGTGCGTGTGTGTGTGTGTGTGTTTGTGTGTGTTTTGCCGCATTGCATCCGCTGCCAAGTGTGTCTTTTGCCCCCCCCCCCTTCTTCCCCACTTTTCTTTGGGTGCCCGCCAGTTAGGTAGCGAAACTCTCGCACACCAATTCGACACATCGCACTTCTCCTTGCGTATATATTCACCCACAAGGCGAAGGAACCCAAAAGAGGGTAAATCAAGCCGAACAAAACAAGAAAAAAAAACAGTGAAAAAGAAAAATAGGAACCGGCGGAAACACCGAATATTCAAAAGCACACACGTGTCTTTGTAAGTAATAGTAAGGCAGGCACAAAGGAAGGAGTTTGTGCTTGCGTCTGCTTCTGCGTCTGTGCGTGTGTGTGTGTGTGCGTGCGTGTCTGTTTAGAGTCGTGTGGGAGAGAGAGGTACGGAGTTCTTCTTGCCTGCGGGCGACGAATAGACGACACCAATTCCAGCCGTCGCAGGTCAATAGTAGCAGTAAGTGGCGGCAGTCGGCCCCCGTTTGGCGCGTAACGGTGAGGAACCGCGCGGCGTGGAACCACCTCGGAGAAAAACAAGCATAGGTGCAGCGAGAGACAGCGAGGAAGGAAGGGGGCGAGGTTGCTGGCGGAAGTTCCGCACACACAACAGCCACACCGTCCATTCCTGGCCGCGTTCAGTTCACGCTTCGTTGCCGTCGCCGCACTGCGCTTAGACCGTGTGCGTGCGTGCGTGCGTGGCCGGGCGAGGGTAAAACTGCACCGACAGCGCAGGGAGGCACCATTGGCGCCGCAGCGTTGGACACCGTAGCCGCGGAAGCAAAACAGGGCAGGCGTAGCTACCGAGCATCGGGGCAGAGGTCGCGTGTCTTCGCAGAGACTCTCGCCCCTGCCTTGAAACCGCTTTGTGGCTACACGCGTGCGTGCAGAAAGGGGCCAGCGGGGACGCGGTGCGTGTTGCGGCGTCACACGAGTAGCCTTCACAACCACCCACCCACCCCGCTCACGCCGCCAGGCAAACACCACCGCCGCCGCCACCGCGCCAAACAGCAGCAGCGGCAAGAACAACACTGAGCAGGCGTGTTTGGGCGATAGAGAGAGACAAGGCGAACGGGTAGGCCGTCAACCATCGAGAACAGCCGCAGCCGCAGTGAGAAGGGCTCAGAGAAGAAGGGCGATCCGAGGCCAAAAGCGACTTGGGCACCTGTCTGCGCTTCGGCACAACTTCAGACACAACACTCTTTGCATTTCTTCTCGCTCGTTGCCTGCGCCCCACCGGCGTCTTCGAAAGTCTTTTCTTTCTTCTGTGTGTGTGCGTCTGTTATTGTTTTTTTTTTAGGTTCTCGCCGCCATTAATTTTTTTGTCATTTCCTGTACCCGTTTTTCTTTTTTGTTGTTGTTTCTGTTTCCCTTTTTTTCTTTTTTCCCTTTTGCTTGTTTGATCCGTTGGGGGGAGGCTTTTGTCTACTTCATCCGCTGGGCCGTACGCTCCCCTCCCTTTTTTATTATTATTGTTATTATTATTATTGTTGCCCCCAGTGTGGCTGTCGTTGGCGTGGGCGTAGTGCCGCGCACGGGGCCCCGCAGTAACCCGGCATCCCACGGACTGTCAGTGGCGGTCGCTCTCGCTGTGCGTGTGTGCGTGCGTGCGTGCGTAGGCGACAGTAGACAACTCCCGCCAAGGAAACCAAAGGGGCGGAGGTGGAAAGCGCGAATATATATATTTATATATTCAGGTATATATATATAGAGAGAGAGAGAAGGGAAGGGAAGAAAGAAAGAAGAGTGGGGAGAAAACAGCTGGGAGAGAGCGAGAGAGAAAAAAGAAAGGGAGGAAGTCATCGGGCCACTTACTTGGGGGGGCCTTGAAAGCGGCTAGTTTTTTTTTTTTTTGTGGTGTGTTGTGGTTGTGGTTGATTTTTCTTTGTTTAACGCGGCAGACGAAACAACGCCAACGAAATGGACGGGCAGATGAACCCCCCGCAGCACGGCGGCGCACGGCACTCGCCCTCGCTGCAGCAGGGCCCCGCAAAGCCGGCAGGGAACCTCTCGGAGGGGCTAGACATGTTTGACCTTCAGCTGCAAAACGACTGCGCCAACGTCCCGGGCTCGTTTACGGGCGGCCTCGGCGGGAGCGCCGCCGCGGTGGGTCTCTCCTCCTCGCCCCCCGTGGCGCTGTCCGCGGCGATGTTCTCTTCGATTGCCACCGCCACGCACGGCCTGGCCTCCGCAATGAGTAACCCGCAGACCGCGCGTCGCATGGTGCAGGAGGTGGCGCAGGTCATCCTTCGCTTCGTCTCTACCCCCGACGAGCCACAGCCGGAGAACCTGACGGAGGAGTACGGGCGGCACTTGATTCTGCAGTTTGTGGACGAGCTTCAGCGCTCGACGGCGGCCGTGACGACGGGAATGACAAGCGGCGGCGATGGGCGCCTGACGATTGACAAGGAGGTTGTGCTGTCCTTGAAAAATGGTAGGGATGATTTGCCGCCGCCGGGGGCGGAGGTGGCGCGCCCGCACCATCCCTACGCCGGCTACTGCGGCACGCTGAACGCCGCGAGCCCGCGGACGACGACGCAGCCGCTCTGGCGCGGCACCCCGCCAAACTTTTCGAGCGCCGTCCACGGCGGCAACAGTACCAGCGGCAGCACAACCGCCAACAACAACAACAGTAACAGCAATCCTCGTAGTAGCCACGGTGCCATGGAGAGCTTCAGCCCTGCTGGCGTGGGGGCGGCGGTGCATCAGCAGGCAAATCTGACCACGACGACGCTGAGCAAACGCGTGGGTGGCGGAGACGTGTTTCGTCCCCGGCCGCAGCACCCAAGGAGCGGAAACCGCACGCTGATGTTACACCGCCGCGTCATGACAAGCGCGAAGAAGGTGCTTCGCTCGGCTAGCTCCGCCTTCTCAGAGTGCTCCGCGGGGGAGACGGGTGAGGTAAGCAGCTCCATGTCACGCACCACGGTTGGAACAAGCGCGCTGGCAAAGTAGCACCCACTCGTACACACAAATTCGCAAAAGAATAAGAAAAAAAAACGAAAGAAACCAAAAACACAAATGATCCAGAAAAGGAAGGCCTTTTATTTTCTACTCCCAGCTGTATTTCGTTTTTCTTTTCGTGTTTTTGTTGTTGTCTTTGTTGTTTTGTTTTTGTTTTCTTTTTCTTTTCTTGGGCTCCCCCCACCCCACCCCTTGTGCGAACTGAGCACGTGCATGCCCCTGCCCTGCTAACATGCATGCAGGTTCAGTGTCCATGTAAGTATGGCTGCCTTTTTTTTTCTCTCTCGCCCGCTAGCTCGCTGTGTGTGTGTGTGTGTGTGTGCGTATGCGTGCGTGTGTGCGGGAGGGAAGGAGGGGGGATGGATTGGTGCGTGGGCCTGTACGTGTCTGTGTCTTCGCTGTTGTGCCTGGTAGTATTTATATATATATATATTCTACATTAATGCATGTATGTGTAGATTGGGGAAGAGAGGGGGGCTGAAATGGAGGTAAAAAAACACAACGAAAAACAATGATGAGAGAGGTTAGTATGTGTGCGTCTGCAAATGAGACGCTGTGCAGCAAGGAATTCGGCGGCGTAGGCGAGGGGAGAGCACCAGGGGGTGTGCAGCGGGTAGAGGGAGCCGCGGCAGGAGTAGCAAATAGTCAAGCTCCGCCTGTGACGAATGAGCAAAAGTGTGGGTGTATCATCTCTGCCGCTCTCTGTTCTGCCACTCCGTTTGTTTTTCTGTTTCTTTGACGTGCCCCCGTGAAACTACGCCCGCTGTTGCGTTTGTCTACTTCCTCTTTTTTTTTTATTTTGCTTCCTCTGCCTCATGGGTATGAATGTCTACGTGGCTGGTGCGTGGCTGGTGCGTTGCCCTGCCGCCGCCGCCGCCGCCGCCGCCGCCACGGCTGTGTAATTTCCGTTTTTTTTCTTTTCTTTTGTTGGTGTTGGTGTTGTTTCCCCTCCCCCCTCGTTGTTACTTCGCCCCACACTTCGCTGTAAACCTCCACGCAAGCCCCGCATGCACGCGTGCGTGGCAACGGGAGAAAAGGCTGAGGGGCAGAAGAAACAGAAAAAAAAAAAGGAGAGAAAAAGAGACGAAAAGAAATGCTCAGGTAAACCCACAACTTGTGAGCCGCGGCACCAGCGCATTTGCAGCGAAGAAGGAAGACGCAAAAAGAAGAAAGACGAAAGAAAAATAAATAAAAGTGTGCGTGTATAATTGAGCTTTTTAGTCTTTAATTGTTACTATTATTTTTTTTCTTTCGTTAGTGTGCGAGTTTCATGAAGTGTGGCCGCGTCTGCTGCCTGTTGTTCCCCCACCGCCGTTTGTTTACTCGCTTCCTTCGATCGGCGTGAGTGTGTGTGTGTGTGTGTGTGTGTGAGGGAGAGAGAGAGCAGCAGCCCCAGGGCCGTGGCACGCACCTCCGAGGCGCATGCAAAGAGGCACACGCAACGAAAGACCCGAGGCGGCGTGGAAGAGAAGAACGGCAAGAAGTGGAAATAAAGATATAGATATATATATGTGGCCATGAGGGGCATCCAAGGCGAGCGAAAACAAGGCCGCATGGGTGGAAGAGGAACAGCTGCAGTCGAGGCGGGGAAACTGAACAAGAAGTGCAGAGCGGAGGAAAGGACAGCTTTTCTAGGGGCCTGTGGGAGGAGTGAACAAGCGCTCCGGGAATGTATGTGTGTAGTTATTTATTTTGCTGGGAAAACCCCCAGTTAAAATATTATCTTTCGCTCTCGAGTTGCCGCTGTAGAGAACACGCAAAGGGTTTTTTTTTAATCAGTGAGTTTACTATCAAGTCCTGCAGAGATGCCTCCCACAGCACACGCCCATCACAGTCAGTAGATGAGCCGCATTATATGGCACTGGCGTCTTGGGGCGCAGCGCAACGGCCCAGCGGCGCTTTTCACTCGAGTTCCTTGCGGCATCGCTGCCTCCCGTTTGATCTGTCGCGTGGATGGCGGCCCCCGATTTGGTCGGGGAAATTCTTCTTTGGCTTCGGCATGAGGTCACCAGGCGGGTTTGGTCGCGTTGTGGAAATGCAATAATTTCATTCACGGCGTCGCGGCGCACACACCCGGAGTCCCTCAGGGCCTTTGAAGGGGCCAGGGCCGCCCCACACACGGGATGGGCGGCACTGGCAGACTGTGCGTCGGCGACGGCAGCTGCCGGCACAAGTGCGCCAGGGCCCACCGTGGAATGACGGGGAGCCGCGGGCACAGTATACTCCCCGCGGAGAGCCCCGGGGGCTCCGGGGGTAGACGTTTGCAGAAGCAGCATGTTCGCAACCAACGGGCGGTCGAAAACCACCAACTGAGGGGCCGGCTCAGTGAGAGGGAGGCACAGCAGCAGACGATAGAAATTGTTATTTTCTGGAAGGGGGAACACGTAGAAAGTTTGGCTAGTGCCCGCACTGAGCGGCAAGACTTGTCGCAGGTGAATGCCGCGTGGCCGCTGGGCGACACTCCTGCCGTGGGAGGGACTTCGCGGGGTCGGGGAGCAAACAGCGTGGGCGCTGCGAAGGGGGCGCGGAGGGGCGGGGTGGTGGCCGCCGGCACGCCCACTTCGTCTGTGTGTGTGTGTGTGTGTGGCGGGAGGGAAAAGGGCCCCTTGGGCCCCGCTGCGCCTTGCGGTTCGCCGCTGCCTGTCTAT